ATCCGTGTCTGACTGTTAAATTGTAAATGGGTCGCAATAATGGTGGCGATAGCATAACCTGCACAACATATTAAATCACCAACTTTATTAACCAGCCAGGTTAGTTGACGTTGGGTGGCTGTCAGTGGGTCATGTGATTGAATCATGTGACAATGACATCATTGCAAAACACTGCCGCACCATTGCTGAGCGAAAACATCTACGCCATGTATCTATGAAGGACCGCGATTGCTGGATTTCTGTGGGGGCCTTTCAATGAGGTTGAGTCTGAATCGGACCGGTTAGCATTTAGGTGAGTCTACATGACTTCGTAACAAACTTTAAACCACGCCCATGATAATCAACCACGAGCGAAGTTGTGAATTTCGTATTGCGTCACAACGTGTAGAGTCGAGACCTAGGCGCATGGACAGAGTTTGATCGGTCGGCCCGTTGAATATGTGCTGTGTTTTGTTTTGTTGTTTGCGCAGGCAAGGCGTGCGTATCATGTGATCCACTTGCCAGAGTTGCGCAATTTTATGCAAACTTCTTCAAAGTATTTTACTTGTAAATTTGCCGCTTTAAAACTCAGTCCCTGATACCGTGTAGATGAATAGTTGCGACTCGCAACTAACTGCGTCATCGACTGTTTAGTGATAAAGCAAACGCATACAGTAGTGCCGCTTGCGCAATCGTCTTGTTTCTCACCATTGATGATAAACGTCGTTAGATTATTACAATTTGAATAAAATATAAACATGATAGATTAAATACGGTCGCAATGTAATTTTGCTTCGAAAAAGTGTGTTCCCCTTACGTTGGGTCAAAGTTACGCTCTAAAATTGATAACAATATCCAACCGTGGGACGTACTCTAGGACTATTTGCACAGTCGATCAAATGGATACAAATAAGGAACTGCTACTTTATGCCATTTAATAAAGTGATTTCAACGCACATTAGGTCAAGATTAAATTTTTCATGAAACAAATAATTAATTATAAACAAAATTTCGAAAATTGCTTTTAAAGTGTAATGCAAAAACATTTTATTTTAATTGTTCATGTAAAAATCGTATAATAACTTGTAATTTCGTCATCTCTCAAGGTCGTGTCATATTTATGATCGCTGCGAATGTAATTTTATTTTGTTGCATATTTGTAATTTAATTCTTTCTTGCAGAAATCACAAAAGACTGAAACTTGTTCATTTTTTCAGCGTAATTAACAAATAAACTTAATTGTTCTCTATTAACGTGTTTGCAATGTTGTATTTATTGCCAAGAATTAGATACACGGCGTTCTAAAAATAATCAATTTTGATCCCACCACCCTGGTTCCCAGGTGCGTTGTTTACTTTCATTTTCATTGACCTTGAAGCCGTCAGCTGTTTCCCAGCCCTCTGGTGGCGGTTCTTTACAGAATATGCATGTTTAATGCTGTGTCACAATTAATCCATGGGATATAGGTATGACGTGACAGTTTCTTTGTTGTTATGAATAGAATCAATGAAACTTAATAGAATAACATTAGCCTTTACTTTTTATTTGCAAGTTAAAATAACTTTGGGTGCAGTTAGTTTATCTTTTATAGGTTAGTCGTGATCAGAATGTGTACATATACACAGAAAATATTAATTAACAAGATTTAATTAATATTATGGTTGATGGCTGGCATGGTAATGTTTTAACATATTGCTTGTCAGAGTGAATAACATTGTTTTAGGCATGATGAACAGGTAGGTTAATAGTTTCATTAACACCTTTTAGTTTGGGATCATGTAATTTGCATAACAAAGAGTAGCATGAAGCAGTTTTCTGTATAAAACAAATGACAAAAAACACACTTTACAATTGACTCTGAACAATCACATGATTTATAATGGCTGCATTTTTAAGCCATTGTTATTTATGTCTTGAAATGAAATGTCCTGGATTGTAATCATTGTTGTGACTTTTATTTAGATTTGGCAAAACTGTCCCTGGGCAGTGTTCTCCACAAGGGGTTTTAGGTGGGCGGCCCGGCCCGCCCATCAAGTTTTACGTCAGCCCAGTAACTCTCAACACCCTCCCACCAACATACATCCAGCTGAAATTATTTGTAAAAAGCTTGCATTGTTCTTCCCAAGCCTAAACAAAAGAGTAGTTGCCCAACCCTTTATTTTGCTATTGTTTCAAGAGTACAAACATAAACAATGACCACTGGAAGTCTGCAAGCAGTTATCAAGTGTATTCATGGCAATGTGTCAATCGCCTGAATTCATCGTCGCCCGACATTGTTGCCACTTATTGCTCACGATACGCAACTACAGTGGTTTCAATTTACAGCTGTATTTTTAATAATCGTTTTCCAACGAACAAAATGTATTTATTTTATTTTTTTATTAGACGCATAAAATCCTTAGGAAAGGATAAAAAGGGTCTTACAGAAAGAAATTAAAAAAAAAAAAACTACAATCTAAAAAATAAAACAAAAAATAAAAACTTTTCTAAAAAAAAAATAAAATAAAACAAGTCAAAAACAAAAAAATAAAATTTGCACCCAATGGTGAATACAGAATATAGAATGAACACAAAATGTGGCCTAATACACTGATAGTTGTTGCTGTTTTGTTCCATAGCTGTTTTTTAAGAAGACAGCTAAGGCTGGTGCTAGAGTATGGTTTGCCATAATCAAAATGAATTTATTCTGACTATTTTCTTTATCAAAATTTGGAATTTTATTTTGTGCAGTCAGGAATAATTTGTCCCTATGGTGACTGTATGTGCACAGAAAATAAACAAATATATTAGCAGATTGCATGTAAACTCGAACAAAAATTAAAATTCTAGCAGTATTTACAAAGTTCGCTCAATTTTTATCGTGAAAACAACATGGAAAAGGCAAACTGATGACCTTTTGGCCTACCCCATTCAACGACCGTCTGCTACCCACTGCTGTTGGCGCTATAACGATTTAGTATCTAAGTGGCATAGGGGAACAGCGCATTCTGGGTGTTCGTGTACTGAATTCGGAAACCGATAAAAAGCACCAAACATGGCTGCTGGATTAGTTTACTGTGAGTATTTGTAATTGGCAATTGAATACATATTTTAGTTATTTTTTCCACGTACTTTTTTCAATTTATCGTTTTTTTTATGTTGAATCTTTTGAGAACATAGCAGATTGCTAGCATTTTTCTTGAATTCCAAAACAACAAGTGACCGTACATGCGTAAATGTATCGTCCGTTGACACGGGTGAGTATTGATGCCACAAATACAAATTTTATGGTTTATTTCGACAAATCGTTCGTTTTGGCTTTGGGGACAAATCACCTCATATATTTTCTACATTATAACTCAACTATGTTTTGTACTTGCTCTTCGTTACTCGAATTGCATTTCATGAACGCAGAATAATTTGAGAACGTATAAATCACCGATTTCAAACTTTCGTAAATATTGATATTGACCAATCTGTTTGTATTTCAAACAAACATGTTTCAATTAAATATAAAAAAAAAGCTAGAATGTAAATGATATGCAAAACAATATGCAAATTTATGCTAATAAGACCGCCCACCAGCTTTTTTTGGATTGTGGAGAACACTGCAGGGTATAAAGACATATAAAAGTGATTATGTGTGCCTGCCATCAGGTGTCAGATTGCGACCAATATTGAAAAGTTGGGATTACTTCCAACTGATAGACGACAGTATAAGAGCATTTTTATTAATATAGCAAACTTGTATCAAGAACACTATGCATAACTTGGGATGGTAATCTTGATGAAGAGATTACACTATCTGCAGTTCAACAGCCAGATCATGTCTGAGTGTGTATTAGGGTGTAACACTGCTAAGGCCAATAATAAGTTTTGCAGCCTATTTTTCAAAAAAAAAATCCAGGGACAGCGAGTAGTTTAACAAAATAGATAAAAATATGAAACTGTATCAATTTTATGATGTTCAGACATTCTTGAATCTTACAATATAGTTTTTTTATTGTGTTTGCTATATTTGTAGCACATGTGCTTATATTATAGATGTATTTCTATGGTCAAAATAAGTAATATTTCATTGATTTAGTGTATAATAAATGCAAGATTTGGTTTATATGCGTTGCTATTGGAGATGCACTTCTAATAGAGCAAATACGGTGTATAGTTACTAAACTACTTTTTGCATGAACATCCATGGAAATATTGAATTTTTTGAGTCAATCACCAATTTTAAAAAGTTTCGTATCTAAAATGTTGCATATAGTATATTGTCAAAAAGTATTAGGAAATTCTGAATACTACTATTTATGCTTTAACATAAATTTTGATGGAAGTTGTTCTAAAAATGCTTAGCTCTACATTCTTTCAGTTTTTGTTCAAAAATATGTATCATAATTTTATTGTCCCATTTATCAGGTTAAATGTCTGCTAATGACCTTAATATGTCATTTCTGGATTGACGAGGTAATAAAATGTTATTTCAAATTTAATTGTGATAAATAAATGAGATACAACTATTTGGTGGCGTCATGCAGATTTTTATTAAGCATTACTGTTAGGTAATTTTTAAATTTCTCTTTATGCTATTTGTACCATTAGTACATGCATTTGATAAGTTTTTTTGACACGAGTTTTTTTCTAGTCAAAATACGTTGTATTTTCACGATTTAGTATTCTATAAATGTAATTTCTATTTTATGTGCGCTTCTATCAGAGATGTGCTTCTAAGAGAGTGAACATAATTTGTTGTTGTTTTTCTGTCTTATAATTGACACACCAAATCAATTTGTTATTGTTATGTAAATTAAGCTTTCTACTTATCAGTTCTGTTGAAAATGTTGCTGACTATGTGTAGTAGATTACATCTGTGGTACTTAGCTGTTTGTTTGTTTGTTTGTTTGTTTGTTTGTCTGAGTAAATAGATGAGTGGTGTTCTGGTGTTAGAATGATATATAAAAATTCTATGTCACCTACCGTACCTGAAATTACCCATTGTCTTCTGCTTACCCAGTATGAATCTGTAACTTAGCAACCAGGAACATGCGTAGATGAAAATACAGCAATAACAATTAAACTAGACTTACGGTAAATGTTTTTATTTCCTGTTTTGCAGGTGAAGCCATCTTTCTCATAGTTTGACAGTTTTGTTTCCGTGTATTTTACAAGTCATGGCAAAACTTTGTTTGCTCCTTTGGAAGAATTGGCTGCTTCAACTTCGGCAACCCGTAGTTACTGCCTTTGAACTTCTTCTTCCGACCTTGTTTGCCTGTTTGCTGCTTGGATTCCGAACACTAGTTGATTTCGATTATCATGGTAACATCACGTCATTCCAGCCATACTCGATAGATGCTTTTCCCTCAAATTTAACACGGGTGCATGGAGTAATTAGCCCATGGGAACTTGCTTACTGTCCGAATATATCTATTGTACATGATATCGTTGAAATGGCCTCAAAGAATGTGAAAGGGAAGGTGAAATTACTTGTAGGTAAGTTGTACATTTCACATATATTCTACTAATTTTGCTCCTCTGCATTAGCTAATTGGGAATGGTTGCAAAGTATCAATAGAAAATTGCAATTATAATTTTGGAAGTAATAATTACCTTTTTTTAATGAATTTCATGGAAACAACATGCAGTGTTCTCCCCAGGCCTTTCAAGCACCACTGCCCTGCGTCGCTTAGACAAACAGCCACGTCGCTTTCATTTCGCCAGCGATTCTTGAAATGCTGTTCGCGATGCTTAAGTTGTTGTATTGTTTACAAATATAATCCCGCCTTTGTAAGCCTTACAAAAACAGTGATAAAAGCGTAAGATTACAAGAAGTTACCAAGTCTTTCAAGGGTGAGGAGTCTGCAAATCCCAAAACAAATACTTGGTAATAATAATTTGCCCATTGCGTCGGGATGATCTGTCCCGATTTGCTGCACTGCGGTTAATGGCAGTTTTTACTACTCCATCGCCGGTGACACTAATTACCAAGAATTAAAAAACAGTGAAATTAAGTCGCATTGGAGAGAAAACTGTAAATAAATCAAAGCAAAAATTATTCAACTGCTGACGAGATGGCCGAACAAAAAACGAACCCTGACCTCTAGAAATACCTTATTAGAGTGCCTCATTACCGAGGAGCCCCACCCTAAGGCGACGTAATGCATATTGTGACATCAGGGCCGATGCATGCTGGGTTACACTGGGGCATTCTGATCGAGGTAACAAAGATGGCAGCCTGGAGTGAATGTTTTTCCGCGATGTTTAAAAACAACATCTCCTTTGCGATTTTGATGTAATTTCTAAGATAATCATCCATGAATCGTTTAAATTAAGAAAACATTCTAAATTTGTGTATTTTTAAACCAAAAAGTCAGGGACCGATGATTGCAAACAGCAGCGGTGAATACCTGTTCAATGCTGACAATGTTACAGTGATCGTAGCGTTACGAAAAATCAATGACTTTAGTTTTGAAATGCCGTTATAGAAAAAATGTCATTATTGATTTTGATAACCCACAATCAGGCAGACTACAAATTTAACCAAAAAATGTTTTCCCCACATCATATGAACTGACAGTGACAAGAGCACTATAACTGACTGTACTTGTTGTACAAAAAATAATGATGATCCAGTAACCTCCATGGATAACAGTATATTTACTGACTGGCTATAAGTATTTCCATTTTTTTTCTGTTCTATTTCAAACTTTATTTGACTTGATGGACACATAAAATACAATGAAGTAAAATGATATAAAATGTATGAAATATCAAATTATCTCTTCTTTATTGATGATATTGTATCACAATGTTTGTTGGGGAACTAATTACTATGCAAATACAATTATGCAAATTAGATGTATTTTTATGCAAATTAGTCACTATGCTTGGCATTGAGTCTTGGGAGAACACTGTCATGTAGTTTACATATGTTGTATGGGACCCATACATAACATAGAGTGACTACTGTAGTGCTTTAAAAAATTTTTTTTTATTTATTCAAGAAATTATTTTCATGATGTGGAGGATTAATTTGCATAATATATAACCAGCTTACCACTGAGGGCACTCACTGTTTTGTGTTTTGGTTTTAAATTGCTTGCAGGTCCTGGGTTTGTTACTGAGAAGGAAATGGAGGATTTTATGAAAGTACAGACGAAGGAAGACTCCATGGTCCTTGGTGCTGTAGTTTTTTATAATTCATTTCCTGATAGCAAGAACCTCCCTCTGGATCTGGAGTATGCAGTTCGGCTCAGTTCTTCGCCACGTAACAAACCGCTGTCCTCTATCACAGGCACCGATGATCCTGATTTAACAGGCAACACCAGTCAATGGTTCACTAATTTATTATATCCAGTGATTTCTTTGCCAGGACCCAGACATCCAACTTATAACTGGGGAGGCGTTCCTGGTAAGTTTAAAATTTACCCAAACCATAAATGAAGGGACAGGTATCTGAGAGGGAAAATGTATGTACTCTTTGCCATTTTCATTGTCGTCTCTGGTAGAAAGTTTTCTCTTGTGGTTACATTAACTCTTAAGTATTGATTTTTTTAAAACATGGATATTTTATTTAACTAGTTTGGGCTTCGAGAACTCTAACTAAAAATTCTCTTGTTTTGTGGTTTCAACTAAAACAATTTGTATCTGATTACCTTATCATTCATAATAAAATGTCAAGCTCAATTTGGGTTTGACTAGCATGTATAATTTTCAAGATCTGGCTAAAATAAAACATTTGTTGGACACAGAAATAAGTGCAAAGATGAAGACTTATATCACTTAACCTGAAAATAATATGCTGGCGAAGATCTGTTATTAGATAGTGCTGTAACCTGATTTCTTACTTTCATTATATAATATTGTGCCTCTTTCCAAACAAAACATAGACCAAAATAACAAATATCATTAATAGTGTTAACAAAAAAAACACAAGCTTATATCGTGAGAAGATAAAATAATTTAACTAATATCATCATGAAAGCTGTTTATTTGTTTCATCTCATAAATTGCTTCATTAATCATCATGCAGTTTTCAAAATCAGCAAAATCAGCATTACACACAGTATTTGAATGGTGTTATGGGAGATATGTACTTGTATATTCCACCCTTGTACTTTAATTATACCATTAGCTGTGATGTGTTGACTCAGGAACACACAAAACATCAAAGAAACCAGAGAGCTTTCAAGTTTAACTTCTTGTTTATTTTCAGTTACACCAACGGCACTTCTTTTTACATATCAATACACTCAGGTGATGAGGTGACATAACACCATTACAAAAATATGTATTCTGATGCTTGCAATTAAGTAGTCCCAAACAAGTATTTTTTTTCACCTGATGCTTATTATTTCTTCATTATAGGTTACATGCGAGAGGGTTTTCTAACTATTCAACATGCTGTGGATAAAGCTATAGTACAATTACACAATGAAACAATGGACGAGATAAAAGTGGAGATGATTCGGTATCCGTACCCACCATACGAGGATGATGCATACGTCATAGTAGTCCAGTCACAGCTGCCAGCTTTACTTATGCTGAGTTTAATATTCACTGCCTTGAATATTGTTAAAGATGTTGTCTTTGAAAAGGAGAAAAAACTGAAGGTATACTACTATATGATTCCTATTCATGTTTCCTCTCATAAATGTGTGCACCGAGAGATGGCCCTGTTTCCATCGATTTTGTATCTAAAAGATAACCGCATGCATCTTTTAAATAAATTAAAAGTGAAATACACCCCACAAGTCTTTGCTGCAAACTATCTTGGTTGCACAGCTCTTTTGGTTCTCATTACGAAGTCATATCGGAATTACTGTTGTTGCAGATAGATTGAACCAGTGCTTTAGGGAAGACTTTGCACACTATCTGATCAACATATTTAATAACCATATATGGTCATGTGACCCCTTTAAAAATGCATAGGTATCATATCTGCAGATATCTGGGGGATTTACTCTATCTTATGGCTTACTTGTTTTATTATGAGATTATTTTTGTTGTTTGTAACTTAATTTTTCCAGGAATCCATGAAAATGATGGGACTGGCCAACTGGTTACATTGGGTTGCGTGGTTCATCAAATACTTTATCTTACTGTTGATAGCTATGATAATCTGTACGATATTATTTACGGTAGAGGTCGGTGACCATGGTTCTGTCATCAACAACACTGACCCAACAGTATTGTTTGTATTTCTTCTCATCTATGCCATCTCTACTGTGACATTCTGCTTTGCTATCAGTGTATTTTTCTCAGTTGGTAAGTGCTTAACAGTGTTTATGTTGTAGCTATTGTTATAATAAAAAACAACAAAGTACTGGGGTTTAATTATAAATAAAAGTTGCATGTCTATTGAACAATTTGCAGAAGTTGCAGTTTGGATAAAACATGCAACTTCCAATCAGCGAAGTAACAGCCCTTGTTAGGATAAATTTTGTTTAATGCACAACTCCTCAATCCCCGGGATTGAACAATGGAATCACGGGATACTGTCTGGCTCTTGTTTCCCATTGTCTGTAAGAATATAAACTGAAAATTAATCAACAAATTCACAACCCTGCACGTTAAGCAGAGATGCTTTTCAGTTTAGTACTGGACCTATGCGTCTCCAATGTCAAGAGTAAAATGTCACACTAGAGACTTGTATACAGGAACTCTTTGTACTCCCACCATAAGCTCAGAGATTTCTCTCGACGGGATGTAATTTTTAAATAACAATATGCACCAGATTAGATCACCTATCGCCAAAGTCAGCTGTTAAACTAAACACTAGAGTTGTTTTTGCTAGCAGGCCTGGAACTGAGGACCTCTTAAGATATTACATTCAATGTAGTTTGTTTCAGTATGCCTAGAACAGTCTTATTTCATCACAGACTTGTTTACATTTCATTCTTAATTTATCATACTTCATTCAATTGCATCAATGTGTGACAAATTTGTAACTTTTTGACTTGACATTTTGCCAATTGAAAATTTGATCTTCCTGCATACCCAATGGGGTAGTCATCATTGAATTGCAGTATTGGAGTCAATGTGAAGCTACTTAGGGGTGATCTCATATTCAAACATGCGGGTCAAACCTACGAAAATCCAAACCGCCCTAAACCGCCCGAACAAAACCCAGTTTTGCGGTTCGTAAGTTTAAACAATAGACAGTGCGGTTCAGGACGACCGCACGAATTT